CAGATTTAAAATTTACACAAACTCATGATTGGTAAAAATCAACGTTCTTTTAGGTCTTTGCCTTCTTGAAACCGTAAATTTGTCTCTCGAAAGACGTTGATTTTTACCAATCATGAGTTTGTGTAAATTTTAAATCTGATGATGGCGCTGTTGTCTCGCCGAAACGTAATTACAAAATTTTTACTTCACACTTTGGAGACACATTTAAGGTTTCGAGAAGGCAAAGACCTAAAAGAACGTTGATTTTTACAAATCATGAGTTTGTGTAAATTTTAAATCTGATGATGACGCTGTTGTCTCGCCGAAACGTAATGAAATCAACGATGTTTCACAATTTTTACTTCACACTTTGGACACAAATTTAAGGTTTCAAGAAGGCAAAGACCTAAGATAACGTTGATTTTTACCAATCATGAGTTTGTGTAAATTTTAAATCTGATGATGGCGCTGTTGTCTCGCCGAAACGTAATGAAATAAACGATGTGTAGCGGCGCAAACAAAAAATCGACTTTTAATAAAAAACCTGAAGATCTAAACAAAATTTTAACATAAACCCAATATTGAAAAAATGTTAAACAGCTTTAAGTCTGAGAGCAAAAAAATTAACTGAAAACTTTCAAATTATATTTTGAATCAAACGCAAAAATCGGTTCGGTTTTTAGATCCCGAAGCTCGGAAGATCAAAATTTATACTTGAACAAACCCGTTTGGGTTTTTTAAATAAAGTTTAAAAGAGATATTAAACAATTTTATGCGCGACGATCAAAATTAATTGTTAAAAGCCACACTTTAGGAAACTAAACCAAAACTCTTAACATCGAAATTGCAAAAGAACCAGCAGAAGAATAGTTTTTGAAGATATTGAAGAAACCTCAAAGGAAAACATAGAAGCAAATTGAAGACATCTTAAAGAAAACTAAAGCACTTTAGGTCAACAAGCTCAAGGGTCCAAGCAAAATTTTAAAATACTCTTAAGCAGACAGGACAATCTTCAGCGGCATTATAAATATATGAATACTCGAACATCTTGGACCCAAAAATTATCTTGTTTAGATGTTTCCTTAAAAATCAAAATTAAATTTTATCAAAAAGAAAAGTTTTGAAGATGTTGAATAAACCCAAAAAACTCACAAATAGTCGATTCAGTTTTCCGATCATTAAGCTTTGAATATCAAAAGTATTAGTTGAAGAAACCCGAAAGTGAATTGGAAACTTTTCGGTCAACAAGGCTGAAGATCCGAATAAAATTTCAAAAGAAGCGCCAAGAAAACTTATGAGTGAAAAAGTTCAAAAGACATTCTCAATACATACTTGAACAGATTGGCCTAAAAATTAGCTATTTTGAAGTTGGAAAACGTTGAAGTTGGTAGTTTTGGGGCGAAGTCGTTGGCTTCTTGGCCTTGTTTGTTTTCGCTCCAATTGAAGCCCAAATCTTCCCGAAGAAATTAAAAACCTTTGATAGTCGAAATTCGCGTTCATTTGAA